TAAAAGTAATATTGTTTGGCAGCTAAATTAGAATGTTGACAGAATTAATAAAATCTAATCAAAATCAACACATCTTTCAGACAAACTAGGAATTGATATTTACTTTCTGATGCTGAATGGGATCTTCCATATAAAACATCCTGGTGGATGCCATTTCCCAGGCCTGGCACCAGTTGAAGGAATATTTCATGGCATTCCTCTGAAGCATTCTCATTCAATATCTGATACCAGAGCAGGAAAAGTCGGATGCCATCTTTCCTAATCTATAATATTATTACCCAGTTAAAAGTCCGGACTTACTGTAAACCAACTTTTATTCGCGTGCGAGAAATTTTCGCGAGGTTCGCGAGAGCCTCGTCATCGCGAATATTTCTCGCCGCGAACGGGTCCTTAAAGTCACTTTTTCTAATAAAACAGTTCAAAAAACGACTTGAACGCGAAAATTAATCGTCGCGAACTAGTTTACACACGGTTAATCGCGAAATAAAGTCGTCGCGAATAAAAGTTGGTTTACAGTATATACTGCATGAATAAGAATTGAATGTCATTTGTCAAAATGAAGGATAAATAAATTTAATATACCTTTAAACCATTTCCTGGATGCAATAACTTCTTTAATATTCTTCCTAAGAAATAAAGGAATACAAAAGGTATTTATGTTAATATTTATGAATTCATTGATTGTACTACTCTCCTCAGTGCATATTTTGAGATTTTTAATTCTATAATACATATAATTGATTTCAATATCTGCATGTTATAATCCCTTCCCATAAAGAAGGTTTCACCAATATGATATTCTTACCAATGCTGTGAAACATCCATCTTTTATGTATCAGTTCAGGTAAAAGTGTGAGTATTTTCTAAAACAAATAATATATAAATTAAAGAGAAACAAATGGTTAAATTTTCATCAGAGTAAAAACTCTGTCTCTTTCTCTCTTTTACATAAGGCAAGAATGCCTCCACTGACAAGATGCTCACTCGTAATATTCCCTCTCTAATGTGAACATACCCTCTCATGTTGACATCGAATTTGCATAAAATTAATTCCCACCCATAAAGCATGCCTTAAAAAAAGAATGTGCTAAAATTTCAATCATCTGTGATGAGTTCTTAATGAAAAAAATTTGCATGGATAGAAGCATGGATAAACAGTAAGTTGGCATAATATTCAAACAAAACTGAATTCCGCCAATAAACATGCTTAAACAGAGAGTGTGCTAAATTTCAAGCATCTGCAATGAGTAGTTACTGAGAAAACTGTAACAAACCAGAAGTCTCTGTCGAGACTGAAGCTCTACTGGTTTGTACTTATAGCAAAGGAAGAGAAAAGTACTTAAGCAGTTGGAAATTGAAACTTTTCAACAGCAATAAATAGAATAATGATCCTTGATTAAGTCTCTTTATGTTCTTAGTGCAGTCTACTTGCATGCCACATTTATATTATAATCAGACTAAAATTGTATTTGGAGTAGCATTTTGAAAGAATTTCACAGAAATTTCTATTTTTAGTAACCACGGCAACACCGTTCATCGAAATCAAAAACCGATAAACAGAATTATGTATCTTATTGTAGTCTACTTGTGTGCCAAGTTATATTGAAATCAGACTAAAACTGTAGAAGGAGTAGCATTTTGAAAGAATTTCACAGAAATTTCTATTTTTAGTAACCACGGCAACACCGTTCATCGAAATCAAAAACTGATAAAGAGAATTATGTATCTTATTGTAGTCTACTTGTGTGCCAAGTTATACTGAAATCAGACTAAAACTGTAGAAGGAGTAGCATTCTGAAAGAATTTCACAGAAATTTCTATTTTTAGTAACCACGGCAACACCGTTCATCGAAATCAAAAACCGATACAAAGAATTGTGTATCTTAGTGTAGTCTACTTGTGTGCCAAGTTATATTGAAATCAGACTAAAACTGTAGGAGGAGTAGCATTTTGAAAGAATTTCACAGAAATTTCTATTTTTAGTAACCACGGCAACACCGTTCATCGAAATCAAAAACCGATACACAGAATTATGTATCTTATTGTAGTCTACTTGTGTGCCAAGTTATACTGAAATCAGACTAAAACTGTAGAAGGAGTAGCATTCTGAAAGAATTTCACAGAAATTTCTATTTTTAGTAACTACGGCAACACCGTTCATCGAAATCAAAAACCGATATACAGAATTATGTATCTTAGTGTAGTCTACTTGTGTGCCAAGTTATATTGAAATCAGACTAAAACTGTAGGAGGAGTAGCATTTTGAAAGAATTTCACAGAAATTTCTATTTTTAGTAACCACGGCAACAGCGTTCATCGAAATCAAAAACCGATACACAGAATTACTTATCTTAGTGTAGTCTACTTGTGTGCCAAGTTATATTGAAATCAGACTAAAACTGTAGAAGGAGTGGCATTTTGAAAGAATTTCACAGAAATTTCTATTTTTAGTAACCACGGCAACACCGTTCATCGAAATCAAAAACTGATAAAGAGAATTATGTATCTTATTGTAGTCTACTTGTGTGCCAAGGTATATTGAAATCAGACTAAAACTGTAGAAGGAGTAGCATTCTGAAAGAATTTCACAGAAATTTCTATTTTTAGTAACCACGGCAACACCGTTCATCGAAATCAAAAACCGATACAAAGAATTGTGTATCTTAGTGTAGTCTACTTGTGTGCCAAGTTATATTGAAATCAGACTAAAACTGTAGAAGGAGTAGCATTCTGAAAGAATTTCACAGAAATTTCTATTTTTAGTAACCACGGCAACACCGTTCATCGAAATCAAAAACCGATACAAAGAATTGTGTATCTTAGTGTAGTCTACTTGTGTGCCAAGTTATATTGAAATCAGACTAAAACTGTAGGAGGAGTAGCATTTTGAAAGAATTTCACAGAAATTTCTATTTTTAGTAACCACGGCAACACCGTTCATCGAAATCAAAAACCGATAAACAGAATTATGTATCTTATTGTAGTCTACTTGTGTGCCAAGTTATATTGAAATCAGACTAAAACTGTAGAAGGAGTAGCATTTTGAAAGAATTTCACAGAAATTTCTATTTTTAGTAACCACAGCAACACCGTTCATCGAAATCAAAAACCGATACACAGAATTATGTATCTTAGTGTAGTCTACTTGTGTGCCAAGTTATATTGAAATCAGACTAAAACTGTAGGAGGAGTAGCATTTTGAAAAAATTTCACAGAAATTTCTATTTTTAGTAACCACGGCAACACCGTTCATCGAAATCAAAAACCGATACACAGAATTATGTATCTTAGTGTAGTCTACTTGTGTGCCAAGTTATATTGAAATCAGACCAAAACTGTAGGAGGAGTAGCATTTTGAAAAATTGTTTACAGACAGACAGACGGACAGACAGACAGACAGACAGACAGACAGACGGACGACGGACGCATTACTATCGCATAAGCTCTTCTGGTCTCTGACCAGTAGAGCTAAAAATTTGGTAAGGGCAGACACACAGATACATGGAAAGACAGACACATATGGGTAAACAGTATATCCCCTCTCCTTTGGTTGGAGCAGGGGTATAACACCCACCCACCCCCATCCACCCCATTCAGAGCGGGGATATAAATATGCATATTGAATATATCAAATACATTGACCTACCTCAAAGACAAACAGAATTACATCCAAGTCCTCCCGATGGGCTCTGTTGGCTGTGAACAATACAGATGTTAAACTCATTAAAAAGCCTGACATTATGTAATATCTTCATAATCTAATTTTTTTACATTGTCTACATAAAGTTCACATTTACTGTTAAATACCTCTTTGTTTAAGATCTGCCTCTACTGTTGAAAAATTGTCGTTAAATATGAAATAGATATGTGAGTAATTGGCCTCAAAGAAACTCTTTGCCTCTGGTATGCTATAATTTTCTGAAATGAAAATCAATACTTTTCAATAATTTGACAAGGCATAATACCACTTCATGTACATGCTGATCTAGTAAAAACGCTTGGTCACATTTGATTGGACTCTTATTTTTCCCAAAATTCAGGTAAAAATTGCAAGAAGATATGCAGATTGAATTTTTCAGAGCTTTTTATTGATTTTTAGATTGCATTAGTTCATGGAGATGTGATTGAGCTTACAGCTTGAAAAGGTATGATTACATGTACCAAAAAGGATCCAATCATCCCCGATTGACATGTACATATACTTGTATTCTAGTTATCCTGTTGTACTTCCTAAAAGTTGGTTTTATTTTAACCAACATCACTTGACATAAATATTTATATTGCTTTCAGGAAATCCCCATGGTCCTCAAAACAACTGCAATAATATTAAATATTCAACAAGATTTTATCTCTTTATTTTCAGTATATATACATTTACAAAAATACACTAAATTCAGCTGATCTACACAAGGTCATTTGTTTTTCCTGTTTCCTTCCTTAGAATTTTTCTGGAAATAAAACTTTTTATTAAAAAGTTTTTAACTTTAAAAAAATCTTCATAAAGTAGGATAGATTTTCATTTATGTGCAAATTACCTCATTGGCTTCTCCCCTATAGTTATGATTATAGTACAGACATAAAGTATGCAAAACATTTGAACTAGTTTACCATAAGGAACTGATTCTTAAGATGTTAAGTTGAAAAATATCAAACTGTTGGTTGTGAAATAAGACAATAGTTTTAATCCATAGTAAATGAGGTTAACAGATTATATAGTAAAGTATCTGTCAAAGGACATATACCGGTACTTATAACATGAAATTAAAACCTTTGAAATTGGTAGTACTGAACCTTTTTAATTTATGGTGAAATTAAGAAATTTGAAGAGAAAATAAATTACAGTAAACTGGCATGAAAATAATTTCAAATTAATATAAATCACAACCTTATCGTTACATGAACATGTATATACCTTTTCGCTCACTTATCAGAGTTGGATTATACTTATACACCTGCTACTAAGTGTTGTATTACATCGTCATGTATGGTGCTTTTTTTTTTTTAATTTTGTTTAGTATTTGAGTCTGCATGTCTTTAAGTGTTTAATAAGTTTTTCTGATACTTTTTCCCAGTCTTCTTATCATAATCAATCTGGTATTTTACATATAAACATGATAAAAACGGGGATGTTTTCAACTGAGGTCCTCTGTCAAAAAAATATTTACAAAACAAAAATTTTCTAAAATCATTTGCAAAAATTCTGTTTACTTGAGAATGTTACTTACTATCTATATATTCAATGATATTTTTTGATGTACTTTAAATACCTTGATAACATTATCAATGTTAAATGTGAATACAGCTGACCTTTGACCTTTATAGCAAACTAGGGGGCTGGGGAGGGGGCAATATATCAAATACTTCTATTGTTCCCATACCATTAAACTTTATCTTATCAATGAACATATAAGTTAGTCCAGTGACAAGAAATTCTCTTCCTGGAGGAGTCATTGTAATATAGTGTAAATATTTTTCTATGTGTTGAGTTACTCGGTACGTCGATTTACCCAAATGGACCCAAATGGAACCCAAATGGACCCAAATGGAAATCAAATGGACCCAAATGGAAATCAAATGGACCCAAATGGAAATCAAATGGACCCAAATGGAATTTTTAATATGTTTTACTGCGGTTTTATCAACTTTTACTTGAAAATTTATTACTCTTTTGATTATTTTAAGTATTTTATGTGTTCATGTATGTTTTTGAAAATTAATTAAATACTTTATACATTATATTATTATTATGTGTCAAAGTTCGTTTTTTTTCTTACGAATAAATATATTTGCATGTGATCATATTATTTTTTAAGGGGGGATATATCATTGATTTCAATTATTAATGGGTAATTATCCAATAGGATCGATGAATTTGTACTATAATTTGGAGTACTTAACAATAACCAATGCGATTAATTTATATCTTTGAGAAGATAATTATGAGACATTTACATTTTAAAAACACGCGTTTTGGGGAAAATTCTTCCTACCTGAATTTTTCTTCAAGGAGAATTTGGATTCTATGTACGGTAAGTTTTTTTCTACATTAAATGATTTTCCCTATAAGATATTAAAAAAGCACTAATTTAATTAAGTAAATCAATACATATTTCCTTTTATATTAGATAAGAAATAATTTAATATTTTACTTTACTCCGGCTTCGTATATAGACATTGATAAGCATACTGTTGCATTCATTTAAAAAGAAAAAATAAATAGATCGTACATACAAGATATTTTAAAATTAAATTATTTTTATACCTGCAATATAGATTAATATAAAAGGCATCAATTAGATTTTTGTTTATAAATCAAGTACTATAATCACTTTAATTATATACACATAACAACATTACAATAGTCTTAATCTAAATGTGTAATTTTTTAGAAGATATAATTATTTACCCGTATTAATTAGACCTTATAGTTGATACTGTTCTATAGTAGGGTAATGACGGTATTGTTATCAAAACAAACGATTATTTGACACGCGTCAAATAATTTGTGTACTTCTAATAAACAAAGGAAGGCAGTAGTTCAAATAACGCAATTCTTCACATTTTGTTAAAATAAATTATCTCACATTACAAAAAATATTTACTACTTATTGTATAGTTAAGCGTAGGTTTTTCTTTATATCAGTAATCCATTGATTTTGGAAGAAATCTAAATGTATTCCTTTTTAATTTCGATCTGTAAATGTTTAGACATATTCAATGTCGCTCTGAAAAAAGCGGTAGCCGTGCATCATCAACGTTATCTATAGACTTTGATAACGGCTAACGATCCCTATATTTGATTATCTAAATATTTTTAAACGTTTATTTATTTTACTTTGATCAAACTTGAATAAAACAGTTATTTATCGATATAAATTTTAATAATTAACTTTAAGAAATGACTACAATAAGAAATTGAACGATAAACAAATTTTATTTTACATCTTAATCCTTCAAATACACAAATAAATTATTTTTTTTTCACTTTATATTACCATGATAACGAAAAATATTATATTTTAATTTCCATTTGGGTCCATTTGATTTCCATTAGGGTCCATTTGATTTCCATTTGGGTCCATTTGATTTCCATTTGGGTCCATTTGATTCCATTTGGGTCCATTTGGGTCCATTTGATTTCCATTTGGGTCCATTTGGGTAAATCGACGCACCCGAGTTACTTTCAGGTACCATGCAACATTAAGTAAGGCTAACTTACAGATACCCATTTATTGTTAAATTTGCAATAGACATAGATGCACTGTGATGTTCTTTTTCCACAATTAAGATTACAGAGTAGATGTATAAACAACTTTCGACACCACCTTTAACGAAATTTTCATCTTGAACATTTACACATTTGCAACATTACCAAGTAAATGTCGGAGGTGTTTCAACCTCGTTACAGCATCTTTCTTTGGGTCCGATACTTTCTGCACGGATTTCTTTAAGTCCCCATCTTTGGTTCCTTTCCTAAACATGTCCAAAACACTAGACATTTAAAATATTTTTAAGTAAATTTCTGCAATTTCTGACATTTTCGTCTGTTTACTTGCGCATGCGTATAAATAAATTTAGAATACCAAACCCGATGTTCAAAATTTGAGGAAAAATAAATAAACTTGATGAGTTTATACACTTGTTGTGGATGCAATAAAATATTGTAAAGACAGGCATGCTTATCATTTATTATAATCAATAAAAATGTACTTTATTAATTCATTTTTTCCTAAACGCGACTCAGTTGGAGAACAACTTTCTATCACCCAAAAGCGGAAATAGGGGAAATAACTGAGATCGATAAAAGAAGAAGGAAGAGACGATTCGCTGTAAGTTTTTAAAATTCTGACAGATGAGGTGTGAATGAGCTGGAACGATAATTCGTCAGCAGAGTCCGACAGGGCCTCGGAAACCAAACCACTAATGGATGGGTGTGTGGACTCAACTCGGAGGCATTTGTACGAAGATATCAGATCGAATGACACAACAGCAACTGAAACTGAACAGGTTTAAAAACATTTGACAAATGATATTTGCGTTGTAGGCAAAAAAGAGTAAAAGTCTTGTGTACAAAAGAAATATGAACCTATTAACATATGGTAACTCTGTCCTGTGTTCTAATTCTAGTAAATAAAAGCAAAATGAAAAACGTGAATCATTAAAGTGTCGAATACAAATATTTTTATTTAAATGAAAAAAATAATTTCATATATTGAAGGATGATTATGAAATCCTTGTATAGGTTTGTAAATGTTTCATGAACAAGTAAAACAACATTATTATAAAAAATGGTTTTGAAACTTTTGTTTAGTTGAGATGGGTGTGTGCATTGCCTTCATTATCTCTTAAGTGTAAAGATTACTCTTTTCTTTGTATGCAAGAGTTGTAATGTGTATCTAAAGATCATGTAATAATTTTCTGTGTTTTCCAGAATCTTTGTGAATTTAAATTTTGGTCTATGTTTGAGGCAAGTGCTGACAAATAACATTTTACTTTGATTTACATATCACTATAGGCTGAGGAGAACCATGACAGACAGATGAACACTCGCCCAGCACGAGACGGGACCACTGTCCAAAGGCGGTCAGCACGGTCTAATGATGAAGAAGAGGAGGATACACTACTGTATGGGGCCAAACATGTCATTATGCTGTTTGTACCTGTGACGCTCTGTATGGCAGTAGTTGTAGCTACCATCAGTTCCATTACGTTCTACACAGATAAAGGAGGTTACCTGTAAGACTGTCTTCTGTTATTGAATACTGCTTTCAATTGATAAATTTTAGTCCAAAAATCTATATAATTTTGTTAGTAACAAGCAGATGTAGTTTTTTGCATTTGATTTTTTTCTCTTCTATGTTGAAAACTGAACCAATTGAATAAATAATGTAATCATTATCCTTGTTAATAACTGAAAAATCACTCATATTTTACATGGAGAGAGTAATTTAAGTGTCATGGACAATATTTCAGAGTGTATACACCATTCCATGATGGAGACAAAGCTGATGCTGACACTGGAACCAAAGTCTGGCAGTCTGTGGCCAACGCTCTCATTCTACTGGGCGTTATATGTGTTATGACAATTGTACTCCTCTTGTTGTACAAATTCAGGTGTTATAAGGTGGGAACAATGGATAAAAGTTTACTCTACACTATAAAAGAATAAATTCTAATAGAATAATTAGATGTGGAAGTAAAATGCATGTCATCAGATTTAAATTTATATTTAAAAACAGGTGCACTCAAAGACAAGGTCCTTAGTAAAACTGTTATTATCTAAGTTTCAATTACTCTAATACCCGTATTTGATATAAGGTCTCGAGTATTTTATTTAAAACTTTATATTATGAATGATACTTATTGTATTAGTGTCAATGTTGAATATCTATTTCATAGGTAATCCATGGCTGGCTGATTACATCATCACTAATGCTTCTATTTTTATTTTCCTACATTTATCTGGGGTATGTTTTACTCATTTTCTTTTTTTTTTTAATTCTTAAGAGATTATTTAACCACAATTGCTATATATTATGAAAAGCCAAAGAAGACAACAAGTTACCTACTTAATTTTGAGCTTTCCTATCAAATGCTATTACTTTTTAATGACCAGGTATTCACACTGATGTTATGTTAACTTTTTTTCTTCCCTGTTTTTTTTTTTTCCTTCAGTGTTTTTAAGTTCTGTTGAATGGGAGACAAAAAAATGATTTGGAGGAATAATAATCACATTCATCCTATGTACAATGTTATTGTGTCATATTAAATATACAGCAAGGTAAACTGAAGCGTAATATTGTTTTTAGGGTGGTGCTACAGGCCTATAATGTTGCAATGGATTACATCACTGTGGCTCTATTGATGTGGAATTTTGGGGTGGTAGGCATGATTTGTATCCACTGGAAGGGACCCTTATTTTTACAGCAGGCCTATCTCATTGTCATCTCCGCACTGATGGCCCTTATCTTCATTAAATATCTACCAGACTGGACCACTTGGGTGGTGCTAGGTGTCATGGTTGTGTGGGGTAAGTGGTTATTGTCACCTTCTAAAAGTGAAAAAAAAAATTTTCATGTATAATGGTAGTATTGCTTGCTAAAACAGGTATACCCAAAGGCAAATTGGGAAATAATTTGTCTAAGTTCTGTTTTTAAAAAAGTTGTTATTTATTTGAAAACAAGGACAAATTTCCTTGATTAATAATTAATTCAAAAAATAAAGATTTTATTTTAGATTCAAGCAATTATGTGAACAAAATTAGTAATACTGTAGGTATAAAGTAAGTTAAACCATTTTTATTTTTCATTTTCATTACTTACAGCCCAGAAAGGTACATTTATATATCACAAAAGAAAGCATTGACAACAAGGAAGGTGATTTCTTTCAGATTTAGTAGCAGTGCTTTGTCCAAAGGGTCCTCTGAGAATTTTAGTAGAAACAGCACAAGAGAGGAACGAACCAATATTCCCTGCACTTATTTATTCCTGTAAGTATAAATATCAGAAAACAAACTTTTTTTCTGATTTCAAATTATTTATGGTATTTGCACAATGTGTATCACAACATACTGTTACAGTGATATCACAGTTGAAACTTAACAGAAATAAGACTTTCATTTCAGTTGAATTTATAAAACAGTTGATATATTTCTTTAAGCCACTGTGGTTTGGTCTGTTGTTGGAATGGCTAAGGATGGATCTGACAAAAAGAAAAACAAGAAAAAGAAATCCAAAAATCAAGGTGACCTCTTTTTATCATTTAAACTCTTAAAAGTTTCATTTTATTTAGACATCAAAAATTTACATGTATGTTCTTTCGAAAAATTTGAATCAGTTTATTAATATAGATGCATTAAATGGTTAATGATGTTCAAAAGTAAATACAATCTTTTTGGTCCTAGTAATTATGAGCCCTAAATAAGTTTAACATACTCTTTCTCAGTAGGTTAGAATTAGCATCTCTCAAGTGATGAAGTGAATTTCAGTAATTAGAATCAATGTTTAATACATTGTAGCAAAAGAGGTAAATGATTTTTAAAAAGTATATTTACATAGTTTTTGAGGCTATTTTATTATTCTGATGCCATTATAAACGTAAAATACCTTACACTGCAGCACCAGCAGCCACAGCTGATCCCGATCATTCCGAGGAGGAAGATGATGGCGGATTTTCAGAGGAGAGACCTCCCAGACATTTGTCTCAGAGCTCTGAAGAAACTGCCAGGGTTGGTCAATCAGAAACCCCCTTTATTTTGTAATGTTAAATCTGTATCCTCTCCCAAGCTTGCATTTGTAATTTTACATAGGTGTCCAGGAGACACAATATCTTATTTCTAAAGTATAGGTCATATGAAAAACTTTTTCTTCTACAGGCAGTACGGGCTGCTAGAACTTTAGGAGATTCAGAAAATGGTCAGCGACGAAGTACAGAGAGAAATCAGGCTACAGAGGAGGAAGAGGAGGAAGAAAGTAAGAATTAAAGTGGTCATTTACCTGTAGATAGAAAGAAAAGTAAGACCCATAGCTGAAAATAAAAGTGGTCATTTACCTGTAGATAGAAGGGTAAGTAAGACCCATAGCTGAAAATAAAAGTGGTCCATTACCTGTAGATAGAAGGGAAAGTAAGACCCATAGCTGAAAATAAAAGTGGTCCATTAAGATAGAAAGAAAAGTAAGACCCATAGCTGAAAATAAAAGTAGTCCATTACCTGTAGATAGAAGGGAAAGTAAGACCCATAGCTGAAAATAAAAGTGGTCATTTACCTGTAGGTAGAAGGGAAAGTAAGACCCGCAGCTAAAAGTAGAAGTGGTCCATTACGTGTAGATAGAAGGGAAATTACATCTTTACTAGCCAAGGGTTTTCGATCCACCACTCCCCATAAATGGAGAGTGGGGACCAAAAACCCCC